GGCTGGTGGATTTGAATTGATGACTTTGTGGTTAGCAGTGCCACACTTAATACACTGTGCCACCAGGGTGGTGCCTTGTTCTGACCCTTGTTGTTAAGTGCCGTCAAGTCGGTTCCTACTCATAGCAACCCTGTATAGCGTTTTCAAGGAGCGGCTGGTGGGTTTGAACCACTGACCTGGTGGCTAGTGGTCCAGTGTTTTTCCTACGGCGCCACACCAGGATGTCATTTAGAGAGGGGTGAGACCTGTTTTTCTTATTAAATTTTATAATTTCAGACTCTCACCATTTCTCTTGAAATTGCTGACCTATTTACCCTAAAGGAGGTCTGGCAGGTGCAGGACATCATAATCTATTCCCAAGACCCTTTCTCTTTGGTCAAACAGATGCAAGGTCAAACTAATACCCAAAGGGTCTTGACATATAGCACTATCAATACATTTTTACGATGGACCCCCAGATACAGGCATGATTGAGAAAGTAATTATTTTAGCAGGTTACCCAACAAACCTGTGACCATCCTGAACTAACTGGTGACCTCTTAGGCTTGCAATTATGTACCCTTAACCCATCATGCAATTCTAGCTTTCCATGCTGTTAGATAACCCGCCTTGGACTCCCGATTGTCTTTCAGCTAATTATAGTCTTGTAACTTTTCGTTCCTGCTCCAACTGTACAAAAATGTTTTCTCCCCCTCATTGTCTGGCAAAGTAGCCATTTACATTTTGTGAATTTGGCTGTCTTCCTGGTCCAGACTGTCTCTATCCCCTCAATAAACTTCTGTTTAGTGATGTTGTTCTAGAACAACTTTTTGGGCTAACGTGTTAGTGGAATGTTTATACTGTTTTTAAAACGATCAGTGACAGCTTTGTAGCACCAATGTGAGGGGGTTTCAAAAAGTTTATGGAAAAATGCCATTTTTAAAAGATTTCATTTTCCCAGGAACTTTCTGAAGGCCCCTTGTATTATTCCATTCTGGGTTTTTAGGACATCGGGCTGCGAACCTTAAGGCCAGCAGTTCAAAACTACCAGCCGCTCCACGGGAGAAAGATGAGGCATTCTACTCCCGTAAAGATTTACAGTCTCGGAAACCCTGTACAGGGTCGCTATGGGTCGGAACCGACTCGACGGCACTTAACAACAATAACAACAATTCCCAAATTGGAATCCTGGTGTAGGCTGCTAACCACATATCAGCAGTTCAAATCCACCAGCTGCCCCTGTGAGACCCTATAGAGGGTCGTTATGAGTAACTACTGACTTGATGACATTTAGGAACAATATTCCCAAATTGTTTCCATGGTTACTACTCCACTGTATTCGGACATAAACAACAACAGACACAACCATTTAGATTTCTAATTTATTATTAAATTACATAACAAAGCTTCTCCTATACAGTCAGAAAAATGCACATTAGATGAGAATAAAATTAAGTACAAATACAATAAAATTGGTTCCAGAAGCTGTTTGAAAAGCAAAACATTAGAAAGTGCATTTGGAAAAGAATAGATTTTTAAAAAAAATCTGTATTGGCATTTTCCATGAAGAAACAGCTTCCATCTCAGTAAACTGTGATTGGGATGGATCTCTCCTTCTCTACCAGTGAAGAGTAATGGGAATGGAAGCAAATACTCTGATACTAAAGGGAGATCTCAGAAAATGAGAAAGTTCCCTGAAAACATGGCTCAACTTTGTCTCAACTTCTTATCCTTAAAATTCACTTGTTCCTTCCTCATTTCCTTTTCCCCTTATAAAACCCAAGAGTATACAGGTCTATAAAGGAAAAACATGATTAATTTATTAAGACCATGATGAAAAGCTCTGCTTTTTTTTTGGGTGGGGAAGGGGGAGACTGGGTTAAATAACTCCTAATCCAAAAGAGTGGAACACAAGTAACTTTCTGAGTAGTATAATTCATTTTGTTCTTTCATTACATTTCCCACAAAGTTCAGCAGACCATCTTCAGATATGGCCATTTATCCCCAATAGCTTAATATTTCAGTTAGAAAACTCAATCAGTTCACCAAGATCCCATTTGGCTACTGATCAAATATGAGGTATTCAGAAGCAGAAGGACCAGTCCAGTTCTTTAAAGTTATTTAGTTATGTTGAGGTCATTAGCAGAGAAACAGAAAATTAATGGTGGAAGTTAGGTCCAGCTTGCTTCTAGTCCCTAGAGGCCAAAAATCATTTGACTGATTTGAGTCAAAAGACTCACCAAGAACATTTTTCTGTTTAGGTGTATTCAGCATCCAGTATGAACCAACTAAATATTATCTGAATTTAGGTACAAACAGGTCCTCCTGGGGTTTGCTATCATCATGCGTCTCCACTCTCAGAGTTTCACTCCCAGGCCCCATCCACAGTCAGGCAGCATGGAAGAAGGCTTCCTCTGTAAAAGTGAAATTTAGTAAAAGAGGAAGGAATGGTGGAGCAAGGCAAGCCCTTTTCTAACATTACAAAAACAAACAGTGAGCAACGCTGCTTACAGGGAGTTCTTATGCATCATTAATAATTTAAAAAAAAGAATGTGGAGATTGCCAGGATGAATGAACTAAAGCACATGAATATCTAGGCCTGAACTGGAATGGTAGATTTATTCAACATTTACTAAGGTCATCAGTACACAGCAAAACAAAATTGCAAAAATATACCTTTTGGAATTTTCCATCCTTTTTGTTGCCATAGATTTTCTTCTTGAGTAAAATGGGAAGTTCTGAGTGATTACTAAAAAGAGATATAATAAAAAGGCAAAATTCCTAGATAAGACAATGGCTGAAGTAGAATAACTGCTTTAAGAAGCAAAATTTATTTGGGACCAGAATTAGACCATTCCTTCTGACCTCTGGTTCTGACTATAGAAACAAGTAACTTACTGTTGGCCCCCGAGCCTATCAACTAGTCTGTATGAAGGATGGCAAAACAAGAGAGAAAAACCAAGATGGTTAGAAAAAGTGTAATGAAATGAAACTGAGTGTTCAAGTCAGCTGCTACATGGGATCCAAACTGAGTCTGTCCCGGTTACTGGAGCACCTCCATTTCCTTGCTCCAGAGTTTCTTTGTACAAATAAGGGAACCGTAAGAGGAAAGGAAGAGCATTCCCCTCAATATCTACTTCTGGCCCTGGATCACCTCATTGCGAGTTACAGCCCTGGGAGATTAGTCAGAAGTATCTGACACCAACATCAAGCCTTTCAACTTCCTTGGAAGAACTGATACCTTTATATTCATAAAGAAAATAACCAACATCATTCTTTTACTTCATATAAGTATTACAACCCTAAGGGAAAGGCTCATCAGCCACCACAACTGTTTGCTTAGCTGTAGCAAGCTAAATTAGCTTGTGTTCTAGTTTCTCTCTCACACAATCAGCTTTAATGAATGTGTCAAATAATCAGACCAGTAAAAAAGACTGGTAGTATAATTAAATAAATACCTTTATTTATGATACTTCAGATTTTATAAATGCCTACTATATAGCAACCCAAATCCCTATACTATTAGCTGAGGCATAACCATCAATCAAGGCCCTTTGAAAAATCAAAGATAATAAAGTATCAAGGGAGAGAAGTTTTATTCTCTCAACAGATAATTTAGTAAATGAACATACTTCCCTGGTCCTTTAAGGTTCACAGTGGGAAAACATAACTTTCTTTAAAGGGCATCCCAATCAATTACCAGATCAACCCGTATTTACAAAAATAAATCCCATAATTTTTTTAAAAAAAATCAAATGTTCTTCATACCCAAATATAACAAAAGCTTTGACACCAGAATGAAAACCCTCGGCAGTCTCAGCATCACACTGGGCGTTAGTCTACTACCCATCAGCTTGTTATCAAATGCATCTATAAACCAAACTGTGGTTACGAATTACATGCAAGCATCCTCATTCCCTATGGCAGCCTGAAGCCTATGAATACCACAGTAAATTCCATTGTGAAAAGCAAACTTCTTTCTTGATGAGGTGGGTAGTTGCTGGAAGTCTTTAAACATTTGTGGAAGTTCAGATCAACAGGGAATGAATTTCCAAAAACTGAGAAAAATGTTTAAACGTGAAAAGAATTCTGGTGGCTGATTGACAGTTTTGCCACTGTTCAAAGACGGTAATAGAAGTCAAGTGCTGATGGAAACACATTCTGCCTTCAACAGATTTTACCTTCAATAGTAAAACCATTCTTTTTTGTTTGGAAGTTTCATAGATTTGGAATGAACAGGTTCCACACAACACAGGATTCTTGGGACATGTGCACATAAATTGTGGAGCATTTACAGATGAAATTACCTGGAGTAGCCGCCCTTCAATGTACTGTTACATGTGGCTAATGGAACAGATCTCATTGAAGATTGAGTAGTGGCCTCACTCAGTAATTCTGATTCAATGAGGACTAGTTGGGGGGGTGGCACTAGTTATGAGTTTTTTTTGTCATGGTAGAACTGAAATTTCATTTTCTTGTGGTAGCAAATATCAATTCAGTGGAAGAAAAAAAAACAAAAAAAATCAAAACAATGACTGTCAAAAAAAAAAAAAAAGTCCATCGTTCTTGACGTTTTTTGAGTGACCGTTAAGTCTAGTGTGCTCACAATCAAAACTCATTTTGTTTCTTCAGTGTCTGTCCTCTGTTGACATGCTGAAGTTGGCTTGTCAGCTACTCAAAGAATTTGTGAAAGATGGAAGTTTCCTTGAATACCTAAGGAACTGGGGATACAGAGTAGTCTACAGAATAGACATTATCAAGAACCCACTTATGATTTCTTGCCATGTGCGTAAAATAAAATGAATGACAAGAACAATTTTTCATAACCCAATCTGGTGGCGGAATGAAAAGCAGACATTGAACTACAGAAGTCTGGTTTTCTGAAGTCCACCTGCAAGACTCAGTGTGTCATAAGGCTTCAGCATTACCACGGAGGCAGAGAAACTGTTTCTGATTGGTTTACTGACATCCTGGAGAGATAAAAGGAAATGAAAACACATTTTTTAAAAACTAAAAATGGGGAAACGTGTGTTAGAAAAGATAGTCCAGGAAACCGTGGCTTCAGCTCAACCTGACCACGTCAGAGTCCATCACTATCAGTCCTGACTTCATTCTGTTGGCTCGGCCAACTAACAGGACAGCCGGCTTCTCCCTCCCGTCTTCATTCCCAGATCAGGATGTGAAAGCAGTGGTTGCCAAGAGTCCTGGAGATGTCCCATCAATGGAAAGCATACAGCAGCAACAGGATGGTACAGACACCAATAACACCACCCAGGATGAGTGAGTCTCGCCGCTTCCTAAGGTTGATTCGCTGGATCAGGCTGTTCACAGCAGGAAAACGATCTTTGGGAATCTTTATTAAGGTCATATTTGGAAGAAATCACTTTAGGGAGAGAAGCCACCGGGGGTGGGGTGGGGTAGGGTGGATACACTGGAGTCTAGAAATAGTAAGTGATGAGAAGCAAAGAAAATCATACTGCAGGAGTCTTCAGCAAAGACAAAGTGGGCTTACCCTACTGCTCAACATCCCAAACAGATTCAAGTCTTTCTGCCTTATGGACAGCACATCAGTAAGAGGTGCTTACTCTTTCTCCCTTGAGACTGAGGAACTTTGGCTGAAGATTCTAAAGAAGCATCTGACCCTCTCTCCCGGGGGGGTTTGTCTGGATTCAGGCAGTGGGTGGGAAGCAACTCTAGAGTCTATGTAATTGGCCACTGGTGAATTATTTAAAATTTTTATTTTGCTTTGCAGTCATTAGGCAGGATTTGGTAGGAAAATGTGTAAAACTAACATAATACTTAAAAGCAAAACACAAAAACATATAACTAAAAGGATAGGAAATTCTTAGCTTTGGGGTTTTTTATAAGACAGCTTTCTTTACTTAGTACTTTGTAATAACTACAGACTCTCACTTGCTTGTATGCTATAGACCAGAACCCGTGCTGTGCTTCCTCTATTATTTTATATTTCTGTTAACAGTTTCTAACAACCCACATGCAAGTGCATCCTCTTTGTTGAGAGGTCAAGTCAGAAAAACCAATTACAAAATAAAACACCTAAGATGAGGTAGAATTTGAATTGTCAATTCAATTTCCTGTAACAAGGACTGTATTTTTTTTGTCTGATTATATATTCTATATATTGTACGATTAAAGTCATGTCTTCTAATCTTGGTTTTCCCTGTGTCTAGAACAGAGTTTTACACATCCTAGGCTTTAATATGCTTCTTGAATAAACTAATTAATGAAAACTGAAACAGAACCATTTGCAGAAACAGTTTTTAAAAAGTACAAGAATAAGAAGCACTTATCACAGCTGATTTGCACCTGACACTATGCTAGGCTCTGGGACACTGTTTTGCTATAAGAGAACTTAGAATTTAGGAGAGACAGGCTTGACCACAGACACACAATAAAAAGTTCAAATGCCCTGGTAGGAATATGAACACCACAGAGTAGAGACCACAAAGAGCAGTGGTGACAAATTCCAATGGACAACTGGACAATTGGGAAAGAATGCAATCAGTAAACAATCCAGCTATCGATTGAAAAGTTTCTTCTAAATAAAAATTCTTTTGTAATCATTAGGTAGCTTCTAAGGAGTTCCGGTGGCACAGTGGCTAAGTGCTTAGCTGCTAACTGAAAGGTCAGTGGTTCAAATCCATCAGCTTTTCTGTAGGAAAAGCTATGGCAGTGTGCTTCCGTAAAATTGACAACCTCATAAACCCTATGGGGCAGTTCTACTCTGTCCTATAGTGTCTCTGTGAGTCAAAATAGACTCGACAGCACACAACAACAAGAGCTTCTGCTCTTGCTGGCAACCAAATTCATCATATTTAAGGAAGACAGCATGACTTCATGTTAAAAGCAACAGGAACTTCAAATTTATATCTCCAAAAATGCTAGCTGTGGACCTAAGCCAACCCACTTCTCTGAGTCGAATTTTTCATTTACAAAACAGTACTACTTTCTACATTTCCCCTCTTTCTGGCAATGATAAAATGCAATAATGTATGCAAAAGTACTGTGGAAACTATATGTTGTTGTTAAATACCATTGAGTCAGTTCAGACTTAGTGATACTCTATAGGGTTTCCTAAGAGCAGTTGGTGGGTTTGAACCACCGACCTTGTGGTTAGCAGGGCAGTGCTTCTCCTAAGGTACCACCACCAGGGTTATGTAACAGAAATGTGGCTTTATGTGCAGTGTTATATTTAGAATGACAAAGCATGAGCCAAATTCAGAGAAAACTGGTAAATACCAACAGTTTCAGGATATTCATCTCCTTAGGCAAATAAGGTATCAAACTAAGAGTGATCTGATATGATACAGAACCAGAAGATAATTTTTGAAAATTATAGTCTTCCTTATGCAGCTGGAGAGGAAGCTTTTTTCCTAGAAAATGCTCAACTTCTTCTCAGAAAGTAACAGACTATCAGTGTTCCCACTGGGTTTCCTAAAGGTATTTCACTCTGAGGAACTAAAAAGGGAGCGGTCACAGCAACCAAGCAGAGAATATTTTAGAAGTCGGCTGGTGCAGAGTAAGTGACACTGAACACACTTCTCTCAGTAGTTATTAACTCATCGACTTACGACAGATTCTCTCCTTCCCTCCCCCTCTAAACATCTGCCTCTTACTTAGTCCCTAAACTGAAAAAATCAGAAAGCACACAATTTATAATGTGTAGACAAAAAGAATGTATAATATGAAGCTCTAACATGCATTCAACAGCTTTTAAAATGCACAGTAACTTGTACATAATAATTTAAAAATTCACATTATAATTTCTTCTAAATCTACTATTTGGTTACCAAGTATTATACATCTGGTGTTCAAGTATTTAGAAATGGTACTAAACATCATGAATGTCCTCAAACTAGGAGTGTAAATTCTACTCCTATTATGTGGTTACTGACGGCTTCTAGGGATTATTGCAATCTGCTGAAAAAGGCACACATACAGATTTTTTTTTCCTCCCTTAACACCCCCAAGACCTCATACTTTCCGAAAGGATACTGGCCAAAGTGTTCATTTTGCTCTGAATGGACTTCAATAATCCTCTTTGTGAAGTCATGTTTTCTTTTGTTGCCATAGCAATGCTGCAAGGAGAAAAAGAGCTGATTAAAATGGCATTGCAGATGGTCCTGCAGGGATCTATCGTGCCATTACAAGCGAGCAGACAATTAAGGTGAGCAGCACAATCTTGTAAAACACTGGATAGAAAAATGTAAATGACCAAAAATAATCACTTCTCAAGCACCCTTCCATTGCTCTTTTATGTCAATCCTGAAGGACCACTCCACTCCACTGCTGTTCTCTGATATCTTTTTGTAAGCCAGTTCTCATGACTGTTTTTTCAAAATAACAAATGAAATAACACATTACAAACAAATCACTAATTACAAGACTTTCTTAAAAAGGTTTTAAAAGGGGTGGGCTACTAACATGTCTGTAGTCAGGAAAAGCTGTTGAGAGGGCAGTAGGGGATTACAATCATATGACTAGAACCAAAAGTATATCCAGCCCTCATTGTATGAAAAGATTATGTTCCAAAATTTTATTTGAGAAACAACTGGGCAGACTTTGGGACACACACTCAAGATTGAGCTCAGTTTCCAAGCCAGTGATAAAGGTCACAGACTTATTAAACACAACTGAAAGAAGGGAATAAGACATTCTTTGTAGAGTACAATCTCTTACATTTGATGACACTGATGTCCTGTATAAAAGAATTTTGTTATTACTTCTGAAATTACTGCTTTTCCATAGGTTTATCTGGACATCAAAATCCCAGTGAGCAGGGATTTTGATGTGTCCATTTCTGTAATACACAGAAAATACTTTAGATGTTGTCATTATAAAAAGCAATAGTAAAAAAAAAAAAAATAACAAAAACTATTCAGTAATTCTGAAAACATCCAAAATATACAAAAAAAAGGCAACAGAGACAAATTCTGGGAAGATGGTGGTCAGAATAGATTTCTGACCTCATCTTTGGTCTATTTCCCTCCATAAGACCAAAGACAAGCATGCTGGGAAGAGTCTATCTGAAGCCCCAAATTCTTTCTGGAGATTCTCAAGGAAAAAAGCCAGGTGGAAGGCTATACTCTAAAAAGAATTAGTAGCTAATGGCAGGGAAACCTAGATTTTTTGTGTGTGTGAATTTTTTTTATTGTGGATTGAGTGAAAGTTTACAGAGCAGATCATCAGCTTTACATTTTACAGGACAAAGTTCAGAAGGATCGGGAAGGAGAGCGGAACAGAAATAAACATCCCAGGGCGGGAATGAGATCACTATTGTTACATGGAGGGGACTGCAAGCATATGCTTTGTTTCATCTCAGTGATTACAATTCCCTCCATGTAACAACAGTGATCTCACTTCCTTGCTGTGATGTTTATTTCCATTCCACTCTCTCTTCCCAATCCTTCTGAACTTTGTCCTTAGGCCAATGTTGCCCTTTTGATCTTGAAAGGTTGACATTCCATGGTAAACATAGCTTCCTAGTGTTGTTCTTTCCCTTATATACCTATCTATTACATGGCTGAAAATTGGACCACAAGGGTCAGTTCTGTTTCAGACCTGAAGAATGGCCAAGGGCCAAGGTGTCCTGTTCCTCCAGCCTCTTTATGACCAATAAGCCTGGTCTTTTTATTTTGAGTTTTCTTGCACATTTTCTAATGGGATCCCTTTCAGAGAAGTGGGCAGTGGTAGCCAGGCACCATCTAGTTCTTCTGGTCTCAGAGTCGTGGAGATTGATGTTCACATGGTCCAGTAGTCCACTGGACTGATTCCAAACATCTTCAATTGTCATCACTTTTCTTTTCTCTGCACATGGAGAGACCAATAGTAGCACCCTGAATGGCCACTCATGAGCTTTTAAGAATCTTATTGCTTACTCTCCCAAGTAGAATGTAGAACACTGGGAGACTAGATTTTCCTTCAGCTGGTTTCACTGCTTCCTGAGGAGCCCAAATGGTAGAAGACCATGCACATGCATGTGAAGAGACTGATGAACTGAACCGCTCTCAGCTCCTACAGCTGGAAGAGATAACTACTCAGCTCCAGTGAGACCAGTGAGCAAAGACCTAACAATCCATCAGCTGGTGCGATGCTCAGCCCCTCAGAGGGAAAACTGCTTGGTTAGCCACTGATCAAAAGTCTCTAAACCTGTGAGCTGAGAGAATACATTTTTGGACAACAGGGTGGCAGAAAATAAACCAGCATGTGTCCTACTGGGATGAAATACTAGAGAAAGTACAAAGAAATGAGAAATTACTCAAAACTGAAATTTAAAGATTTGAGAAGGCAGAGAAGAAGCAAAAATGTGTAAGGAGATAAATCAAAGGATATTTATTTAAACAGTGCTTGGATTAGTGAAATTAAAAAACAAAACAAAACAAAACTTTACCCCACCTAAAGACTATGGCCCTTAGACACCCTTCAAGCCTGGAACGAACTCAGATCTGTGGCTTAACGTTCATATGACAGACATGAATATAAGGTGAATAATATAATGCCAGAGAGGTACACACTTATTAGAACTATCAACCATACAAGATCAAAAGGGCAGCATTTTCCCTGGGATAAAACTCAGAAGATAGGAAGGGGTAGGAAATAAGGGTGATGGGAAATAGTAAACACACGGAGGAAGTGGAAAGAGTGCTGTTACATTATGGGGATTACAATCATTATCACAAGACAAAATGTTTATGTTTTGTTGAATGGAAAATCAATTTCTCTGAATACTTTCACCCGAATCACAAACAAAAAACAACCTCCACACAGGCATAAAAAGAAAATTGGAAACAATAATGGAGTGGTTTAATAGATTATAGCATAAACAAAGTATGGACTAATATATGGTCATTAAAAAGTGTGTATCTCTATCAGTTTGAAAAGATCTCTATGATATATTAAGTGACAAAGAAAGTCATAGAATGTGTACAGCATACATTCCTTTTAAAGAAACAAACACAATATCTTTGTGTGTGTGTTTCTACTATAACACGTTTATAATCGTGTTATAATAAGAACAGTGTACTTCGTTTCTCATACTTTGGACATTTTGTCAGGAGGGAACAGTCGCTGGAGAAGGATGTCATGCTTGGTAAGATGGAGGGTCAGAGAAAAAGAGGAAGACCCTCAACAAGATGGATTGGCCAGGTGGCAGCATTGATGGATTCAAATATGGCAGCGGTAGTGAGGTTGGCCCGGGATCAGACATTGTTTCATTCTGCTGTGCGTGGGGTCGCTATGAGTCGGTTCCGACTCGATGGCACCTATAAAAAGTTACAACAACTTTTATAAAACAAAAGTATCTAATAAAGAGAGAACTTCCAGTAATATGGTGGACTAGTTAGAAGCACTACATGGACCCTCTACACCAAAGATACGAGAGAGACCAAATAGACAGATGAAAATCCAGGAACCCTGAACTTCAGAAGAAAGGTTAGAGAAGTATACTGAGTGCTTGTTGCTGGGAGGAGAAGCTGAACTGGAACAGCGAGAAAGAGAGACTGGTGAACAGTTGACCAGATGTGGTACAACCAGCTTGAACCTCTGTGAGCAGCTTTGACAACAGAAAGTGGTCTGGCAGAGCAGAGTCACACAGGCAACTGGAAAGGCGTGGTTCCTTCTTTTTCCCCTCGCTCCCCTGCTGCCCAGAGGTGTGGCCAGCTCCCACGCTCATCTACCCCAAGCATAGCCCTGCTCTCTGAGAGTTTGGAGCCATGCCAGTGTGAAGCAAGGGCCAGCTGCAACCCTTTGGTGTGCCATTTTGGTGCCTGGATATAGGTGAGCTTAGCTTGGGGCCTACAGAACCTACAGAGCCATCAGACCAACATTCAACCAGTCACCCTACACCCAGCTGCTTTGTGGTCTTAACAGGCTCTATCCATTAAGGGCTCCATAAACCACTTTTGGACTGAGTGCCCTGAACATAGATAACACTTAGCCCAATAGGAACTCCATCTAGGGCCAGGGACTCTGTTGCCATATCCCTCCCACACCCACCTTGTGAAGATCTTTGGCTGGCAGGAACCCCCAAAGTTTTTGCTTCACCAGATCCTAAGAGCACATAAGTATACAATCATCAATTAAATACAAATATGAAAACACCATACTGTCCCCAGAGAAAAAGTCAATTTCAGCTCCAACGAAGAAACAAGAAAGAATGGCACAAACAAATGACCACAATGAAGATCTAAAAACGGTTTCTGAGAAATAAGCACAATGGAACTAACTGAAAAATAGTTAAAAAGAACTATATTTAGGTATCTACAAAGTATTAACAAGATCGAGGAAAGCAAGAACACAGAAAAAACTTTAGAAGAATTCAGGAAAACACTACAAGAACAAACGGACAAAATATATGCAAACTTTGAAACCATACAAATCAAGCAATTAGAAATCCAAAAGATTAATATTAAGACTTCAGAAATGGACAATACATTTAAAGGACAAAGGGGTAGATTTGAAGTAATGGAAGTCCAAATTGGTGAGTTTGAAGATAAATCTCTCAATACTAGTATACTAGAAAAACAATCAGAAAACAGAATGAAAAAAATCAGAAGAAAGTGTAATAGTTATGTGGGAAACAATGAAGAGGAATAACTTATGGGTGATTAGAATTCCAGAACAGAAAGAGACAATAAAAGGCACAAAGAAAACTGTCGAAGTGTTCTTGGGAGCAAACTTCCCTGACACATCATGAAAGTCGAGAAGTTATGCTTACAAGAAGCTGAACAAACCCAAACAGGATAGAGCCCAAAAGAAAATCACCAAGAAATATAATTAAAATTTCCAAAGCCAAAGTCAAGGAAAGAATCCTGAGAGCAGCTCAGGAAAAATGATAAGTTACCTATAAAGGAGAACCAATTAGACTAACTCAGCAGAGACCCTGCAGGCAAGAAGAAAATGAGATGGCATATACACAACTGTGAAAGAAAGAAAGAAAAAATGCCAACCAAGAATCACTTGCCCAAGAAGTGACTGGCTTACAAGCTTTCAAGAGGGAACCTGGTGCTAGGGAGCATGGCGGAAGGCAGAACCTCCAGTAGGTACTATTCAATCTGTCTGGGCGGAGCTGATGAAAGGA